CATAAACTCATAAATCCAAAAGAATTCAACTAAATTCACTTTTATATCACATAATTATTCATGAATTTTATTTTAAACATAAGAAAAAGAAAAGGATTAAATATTAATTAATTTTAAATTTAATATCTAAATATTAATTTGTAACCTTATTAGACCACTAGAGACAGATTTACACTAAGCAAAATTACTAAGGGACCAAATAACAGTTTTCCCATTAATCATTAATCATCCCTGCGACAATAGTTTTCCATGGCCCTTACCTTCTTCGTTTTACCTTCCCCTTTATTTCTCTATTTATTTAGTTAGAGATCTTAACAAATTGGGATTCCGCCCCCGATCTACTCTTTTGCTCTAATTCAAATTGGGATTCCAAAACCCAATTTTATTTATTAAAGAGATGTTATGCACCTACTTATACAAGTTATTAGTAAGAGATTAAAATAAAAGAAAATCAAATCTTCTCAAAATTTTAGACCTGCAATGGGTTTTATGACCTGTTTTCTGCAATTTCTTGACCCATGAACTACTCTCCAGTCTCCAAAATCAATAGATTTAATTAGAGACACATAAAATCCAATTAAGACACGTTAATATTAACATAAATTTCTTGAGCTTTTATAAATTAGTCAAAGTTAAGACTTTAAACATAAAATTTGACTCATACAAACGGATTTACAGATATATTTTATATCTTTTAAAGTCCTGACTATTCAATTACATAACCTCTGTTTTAATCTTAATTATAAAAGCTAAGTGTATAATATAAAGATCGAAAATCTTAATCGGATCATTGAATTAGCGCGGAAACCATATTAAAATAGAAGACTTGGATCCTAAATCTACATATAACCTGCTCTGATATCACATGTTGAAATTTTTAAAGATCCATATACGATAGAATTTAGAATATCAAAATCTAATAAAATAAATACATTATGTACCTAAATCTCCATAATCAATATATTACCTAAGAATTTTCAAGAATTTTCATAATTAGGAATCTCATAATAAAACCTACAAAATAGATATAATTAGTATTGAATTTTAGGTCTTCCTCTCCTTAATCAACTTTTGTATAGTGATAACTAATGGGTCATGTCACTCCCTAACTCTACTATTTATAGAGATAGGATTTTCTAAATGGGAGAGGCCCATTATAATAATCTTTTGAACATCCCATCAAGTAGTTCACATTTACTTTCAGACTCTACACCTATTCATATCACACCATATAAAACTGAGATAAAATCTAAACTTACTTAAATCACATTATTTTATTAAGTTTTACTGATTTTTTTTCATTTGACCTAACTTTTAAAAACTAAATACAATTAGCGACGGCAGATGTAAAAACTTCCGACATAAACCACTACGACACGGCAAGATTTAGAAAAAAAACAAAATAAATTCCAATCGGATCGGTAATGGGCCTAGAAATCCTTCTTTACCTTTTCAACTCTGAAAACGTGGCCCAATATAAATGAAGTCCACCGGCCCTACATGGAAACGTCCCGCCTGCCGTACGATTGCAATCCGCGTCTTTCCTCTCTTGATATTCAATGAACGGCCTAGATCATCTTTTGCGGTGACGCGGATCATCACTTCAAAGTTCGTATAGCCGTCGATAAGCCCTTCAATCTACGGTCTGGATTCACTAATTTAAATATCTCGAAAACACAAAATTTTCATGTTCCCGCTTTTTCCAAATTTTCCCGTTCCCGCTTTTTCCAAATTTTCCCTTATATATAAAAGACCTCCCAAATCCCCCTTTCCTCAACTCAACACCAAAATCTCTCTGATTTCCCTTGTTCTCTTCGAATTTGAAATGGCTCGCACCAAGCAGACTGCTAGAAAATCAACGGGAGGTAAGGCGCCGCGGAAGCAGCTGGCCACAAAGGCTGCTCGGAAGTCGGCACCGGCCACCGGAGGTGTGAAGAAGCCACACCGCTTCAGACCTGGAACCGTGGCTCTGAGGGAGATCAGGAAGTACCAGAAGAGCACTGAGCTTTTGATCCGAAAGCTTCCGTTCCAGAGGCTGGTGAGAGAGATTGCTCAGGATTTCAAGACTGATTTGAGGTTCCAAAGCAGTGCGGTTGCGGCGCTCCAGGAGGCAGCTGAGGCGTACCTTGTGGGGCTCTTTGAGGACACTAATCTCTGTGCTATTCATGCCAAGAGAGTCACCATCATGCCTAAGGATATCCAGCTTGCTAGAAGGATTAGGGGAGAGAGGGCTTGAGTTCCCAATTGTGTATTAGATATAGGGCGTCCTGTTTGTATTTGTCCTGTGGCAGGCTGTAGGATCAGGATCATGAAAAGGGGAGACAAGAGGGTTCAATATCAAGAGGTTCTCTCCCTTTAATAGTCTTAATCTTATAGTTTGTTATGGAACAGATTATAAGATACTTTTTTTGTTAGATATATACTCTTTTTTTATTTTTACAAATTATACTTAGACTTTATTATTTTATCATTTAGATTATATTAAATTATTAAATAAGAATTATTAGATGAAAAATAACTTTAAAAATTAGTGTATTAGTTTTAATTTTCAAAAAAAAATTAAAATTAAAATTTATATTTGAAAATTAAAATTTTAATTAGTTTTTAAATTTAAATATTAATATTTAATAAAATAAAATTTTTAATTAAATAAGATAATATAATTTAAAGTTAGAATTTTAATTTTATTCAAGAGTTGACATTGATATATGTATTTTTTCTAATTTTTAATATTAAAAGATCTTTTTGAAAATAGGTGATGAAAAATATTAAGAGATAATTTTACAAATTTAGTTTATATTGTAAAATAATTTTTCTTTATATTTGTATATGGAAGTTATTATCTAAATGAATCAAAAAAGCATATATACTATTACTTTGATCTATAGCTAGTTGTAATCTGTACTTGTTAATGTGAACTGAAAGTTTGAATTTATAGAGAAATGAATTCTGAAACACACAGTACATGATTAGGAGCATGTATTACTAATACAAGTTCGAAGATTACATGATGAGAAAGTTGGACACATTTACTGTGCTAAGGCCACAGCTTCTTTGTCTTAACAAGGATTCCTGGTCTATAGGTTGAAATAAAAATGTCGACAAGGACTGGAGCTTGCATCCGCATAGCAAGAGTGACAGGAGGAGCAGCTATCAGAATTATTGGAAGAATTACTGACCAACGACCTTGTAATATAATTAAAAGAGCAGAAGAAAATGTTACCATCATTGTTGCTATAGAGATGAAGAGTGTTGAAAGGCCCAAAATCAACTGCTTAGGTAAGTACGCGAGAAAATCTTCCTCGGCATAACGTGACGTGAGGATTCCCAGAAACATGAACACTGAGATGGATGCAGCGAAGAGGGAAATCGCATCTGATATCAAGAATACCATAAACAATTTTTTACCCAGTAAAATGGGAAATCCAGTTTCCTGATTGTTACCACCAGGAACAGTTAAAATTGCAGCAAACATGATGGTAATGATGAGAGAGCCAACAACACTAGAAGAACTCGCTGTATCTTTCATCCATTTCTCCCCTTGTTTTGCCAATTCCTTGTGGCTCTTAGTAAATACATCACTAGGAGTTTCACCATCTTTATTTCTAGCTTTTTTACATGACTCTGGAACAATACTTTGAACCTCCTGCATTACATTCATTTCATCATACTAATGTTAAGTAATTAAACATGAGCTGATAATATGATTTAAGTAAAATATAGATATGAAGTGAGAGAGGAGTGACCTTGAACCACTGTAGTTCTCTTTGCATTTGCAGGGCTGCCCCAGAAATGCGAGCTAGTTGAAAGTCAGGGGCTAACATCCCTGCTATATGTAAGCAATTATTATCGTGATTATCAGTACGATTCAAAAGCTGCTTCCATGCAGCAACGCTACAAAAGAAGCTGAAAATTTTTTCTTGACGATGTTCAACTGCACACATGAAAGCGGTTCTTGAATTTGGATCGATTGTATAAATTATTTGTGGTCTGGCTTTCAACAATGCAACCACAAACTCCTCCATGCCATTCTGGATAGCTTGAAAGAAAGCACGAAACAATAGACCTTCTTCACTTTCCTTGCGATTTAAAGTTGTTATGTGTTCACACATACATTTTAGAACCTCAATCGAAAGTGTATGGATCAACTTCAAATCATAAATTTGCTTGATTCCTATATCAAGAATCAACAACAAAAGTGAAAAAAAGATTAGTTAAAAATTATACTAGAGCTAAGGAAAATAGAAGTTTAGTTGAGTTGAAGCAGCATACCAGGTAACTTT